TTATGCAGTAATATAAGGACTGCTCCTGCTATTATATCACCGAGGCCACCAACAGCTTTGCTGACAATAACATAAATCGCTGTCTGACCTGCAGCGACAACACAGCTCATATGCGCGGAACCAGCATGAAACCACGTAGACATGTTGCTCGAATGGGGATTGTGCGTGCTTTGAGTTGATAACATAGCAGGAACGGGAATTTAGAACACATATTTCACAAGAGATTATGCTTGTTTTGTCCTTTGTGACTTTCGGACGCATATTTGGGGATTGGATTTGATGTTGAACAATAAACGTCAACGGCAAGACTGGCCTGTGGTTCATTCGCAGATGTATGAATGGCAATGCTGTTTGTGGGATATGCATGTTCCATCTTTATAAGAAGATGAGAGGTGTCATTAATGTCAATTCAATGAATTCGCATTACCGTAGGATTCATATTACGGAGTACTTTTTCGTACATACATGTGTGTGAGTGTGAGTGTGTGTGTGTGTGTGTGTGTGTGTGTGTGTGTGTGTGTGTGTGTGTGTGTGTGTGTGTGTGTGTGCTGGTACTTGTCCGGACCGATGCCGATTTATAGTGCTATCTATAGAGATACCATGCGGCAGTTTAACATGAATCCCCCACTCAGACACAGTTTACTGACTCCGAGCCGACCAGTCCTTGTTTTAGCCCCTTAATGCCGAGCGTCAGACAGGTAAGCACAAGTACCAACCTCTAACGTCTTTTGGTATGTGTGTGCGTGCGTGCGTGCGTGCGTGCGTGCGTGCGTGCCTGCCTGCCTGCCTGCCTGCCTGCCTGCGTCTGCCTGTCTGATACTGGCGTTAAAAGCACAAAGGTGAAGTGCATTAGCCTTCCTTCAAAACTAGGTTCATGACACTTTGACTAGCGATAGAGAGAGAAAAGTACATCCAGAACCCCACAGCTGCTAACACAAGTTGAATTACATCCCACCTGAATCAAAGCTGGCATTCGTATGTGCATAAAACAAAGAGGGATTAAGTATTAATTCACAGACCTCCTTGACAAATGTATAATGCACACATATAAAACGTCATCGCCAGAGAATCTCGATTATCCAACGAAACCGAAGTCATTGGGCGTGAAAGGCAAAATAGCGGTGAAAATTATATGAATGGATCACTGACATTCAGCGATGGCATCAGGTGTTCGCGAAGAGGGTAAGCGTGTCGTCCCCTACCGGTAGTACCCACCACTCACACAGTATGCGTAAATAGATCCATGTGTCCACAGAAAATGTTGGACACATGGACTCCACAAATCGTCACATTCGCATTAAGGGTACAAATATCCGACTATTTCAAATAGTCACATCGAACTGAACCGAAGCCCGACATATATGCATTGAAATTGTAAGAGCATTGACCTCATCCTAGTCGTGATAATTAGCATTATTGTAAGTGTGAATAGCCAATTTCGGCTGTAAGAATAATATTGATGCAGGCCCGTTTACTACGTTAGATCTGACGGTGTATTTACACTGGATTACCTTATGGACATATGGTAACAACACAACCCATGACTTGAACCATTCTTTATGTGTTCCATGGCTTAAATTATCTGTGATATCACAATGAGGCCATTCATTTATTCAATGAGTTACAATAATCAAGGACGGTCGGGTAGCCTAGTGGTTAAAGCGTTCGCTCGTCACGCCGAAGACCCGGGTTCGATTCCCGACATGGGTACAATGTGTGAAGCCCATTTCTGGTGTCCCCCGCCATGATATTGCTGGAATATTGCTAAAAGCGGCGTAAAACCAAACTCACTCACACTCACTCAATAAAGCTTTCCAAAAGTCTTATGGTACACATGTGGTGGACACTACCAAATTTGACGCATCCGTGACAACTGAATGATGTCCGATTCAATTCCTTATTTTGACTTGTACCATATATTCACGTATTTTTCAATTGACTTGCCTTTTACATGTGTGGGACAGGATACGCTCACCTTTTCGCCTGGTATCATCACTATTGGATAGGGATTCATTAATACCTGCTCATGATGTTGTCATACAGCTACTTTTATGTGTATATATTCACAATGTGCATACAGATTTCCATAACTTATAAGCATAAAGAAATATAAAGTTAGAGGTTAAATCATTAAAGTAAAACATTATCATCGAGCACAGTTGGTGCACTGACGTCACATAATAAAAGACTATTATATACAGTTTATACTTAATTATCACAGCTTGGTCTGTCCGTCCTTTATGACGGTGCCCGTTATTTGTAATTAAGGATGGCTGATTGACGCCCCAGGCGACAGGCCACCTGTCATGCAGAGCAAGTCTCCGCTTCATTATAGATAAGATAAGCATAAATGTCAACCAAGTTAAAGTCGATATATTCATGTTCATTCAAATGAATGTGTATAATATTTATTGCATATATTATCACGTGAGAACGCAGCACTTTAAGTTCTCACGATAGATAACGGCTATCGTACCTCTGTTGATGTAATCGGGGCGGTCGGGTAGCCTAGTGGTTAAAGCGTTCGCTCGTCACGCCGAAGACCCGGGTTCGAATCCCGACATGGGTACAATGTGTGAAGCCCATTTCTGGTGTCCCCCGCCGTGATATTGCTGGAATATTGCTAAAAGCGGCGTAAGACCAAACTCACTCACTCACTGTTGATGTAATCATTATCATGTTTATTAACAGAGCGTCGACCTGAATTAGTTGTCACACTCTTATAACACCCAGCAGTGTCCGTGTAATAAAAGATCTACAAACAATAAAAGTTATGTTTGATCCCATGTGATCAGTCCTTGGCTTTATTTATACTAGTGATACGTACGTGACATAAGTAACAATATAGCAACAACATAGGAGTCATTGGCATCTGGAGACACCAGCCAGCCACGAAGCATGACCAAAGAACCTGTCTGCCCAGTGCTTGGGAGTTATTGCTTTGATCTTTGTCGGGCCTAATTATCTACCTGTGTTCCATTTGTCCATTGTCATTTCCATTCTATTACGAATCAGTGCCAATTAACCCCGGCCTTCCGTTTGAGCATTGTCCAATGTCTGTTAGCAATCAGCGAAAGATTAAGTGTTGGCTTCCTCATGTCCATTGCTATCAATTTTCAATTTGGCTCACCTTGTTAAGTTTCCACCTTTGTTATCTTATTACTTTTGTTGTTCTTACAGGTACATATATATGTTCTCTGCCTCATCGCATTTATACACTTGATGAAGGAGTAAGTATATACTCCGAAAAGGTGTGTTCCTCATAATAAAGAAGTTGACATCCATAAATTCTCTTCCGTATGTGTATCACGTCTATAAATGCCTTTCAGGGGCACGAGTGACCCAGTCGGCTAAGGCGCCGCGACTCGCTGTGCAGAGTTGCGACCCTTGGGTACGCCAGAAACCTATGATTGTGGGTTCGAATCCCGTTCGCCCCGATTATGTTTCTAGGCTTGTCAGCGCCATACCCGTGCTCGTGGGTTTCACCGAAGTGGATCACGTCTGAGACCTGCATCACTTGGAGCTTTCCTCCCACATTAAGCAGACACGCCGTGATAAATTCTTAAAAGCGGCGTTAAACCCAACTCACTCACTCACTCACTCACTCACTCACTCACTCACTCTAAATGCCTTTCAAAGACATGAGCAGCATCATAGGTAACATAACGTAACACAAACCTATACCTAATAATTTCATTGCGATTAAGGATTATACACATATTTGAAAATATTTAATTGTTAACACCGTTCTATCATGTGTCGCCGTTGTGCCGATTCACTAGTACACGTCCACAAATCGTAAAAAGAGGATTTTGATCCCCGCTGGCGACACATGCTTTCAGACATAGAAAAACTTTCGTCAATTCCATGTGTACATTGATTGAAATTGAAATGTCGGTTTATTGTCGGCATGAATAACTCACAACCAAATTATCCATCTGTGAAGAAAAATGGATCGTTTAAAAACTAGAGCGTCGTCACAGATGTGTTTTAATATAAATTAGGATTGACAACATATAGAATAAAACACGGAAGAGGCAAATAGGTTTAAAGTAGGGCTTGTTGTTACTGTTATTAATACGTTATTTTGCATGACGCATTACACCAGTCAACCTGACCAATCAGAAAGTCCGAAGTAAAACATATCATTCAGGTCAAAAGTCAGAGCAATGTATGTTTTTGAAGATTCATTTTCTTTTCTGTACAGAGCACTGTCCAATCATACATATTCATCATATACGTTCGTGCAATACAAAACATTAATTTAGAAAGGTACCTTAATATTGTACGAAAACATCTACTCGTAGATTTATAAATGGTACACGAAATACGTGTAACGGGTGAAATACATTTGACGTGGTCCTGCATGGCGTGGAAACATCAATATCTCCAGAAACGTAGCATGTCATGTTATCAGAACATACAGATATACATGGATCACTCATTCTCCCTTGATTGTTGGGGGAGTTGGTTACTGTGTACACCTTTGATGAAATACCAGATTATCTGTCGTGTAAACATTAATACTGATAACTTTAACCTGGCTGTCATAGTGTTGCCTCTCACTGTGACTGTAGATTAACTACTATCAGCCACGACCGTTACCTTCTCGAACATCGATAGTGTATACCATCGTTAATAGTAATACAGACCACTATGCCACTTACGTGAACAAACCACATTGCGCTATCGCATGATCAAGAATATGAGTGAGTGAGTGAATTGCGTTTTTAACGCCGCTTTTAACAGTATTCCAGTTATATCACGGCGTGTCCGCTTAATGTGAGAGGAAAGCCCGAAGTGATACAGGTCTCAGACGTTTACCACTTCGGTGAAACCCACGAGCACGTATGAAACGTAATCGGGGCGAACCGGGATTGGACCCCACAATCATAGGTTTCTGGCGTACCCAAGGGACGCAACTCTGCACAGCGAATCGCGGCGCCTTAGACGACTGGGCCACCCGTGCCCCCTCAAGAATATAAATTAATATCACTTACCCCCGGGGTCCAGTTATAGGTGATCCACAATAGCTTGCAAAGAGCACTTACAACCATTCACCAACTATCCATTCTCAATTTCCAGCAGACAACGGTGTCACTACCATAATGCAATAAATCTGAAAACAAGAACAAAATTAATTAAAACTGACGGATTTGAATTACATTTCTGAAACAACATCTATCGAGGCTAATTAAATGTAACAGCATAAAATTCTTAACGAGTACTTCTTTTGTATTGATCCAATTTACGGCCAATTTAAACCTTGAGGAATAACAACTTGTCTTACGAATTCCGCATATCGGTTTTTCATTTCTACGCTTTCCGCAATTGGATGAATTTGAAACTTTAAATAAACCGTAATGTAGTTGAACGTCTTCTGCTGAGAACACTGCTGGAATTTCTCAAGCTGAGGCAATATGTTGTCACTTCACTGGATCATGTTTTAATGGTTTCACTTGTTTGTGTCTATAAGGTATCCTGCCCACAATTCTATATAACATCACTTCTTCTAGAGACGAAAAGAATATGCGCAACTAATCCCTTGCCTGTTACCATGGCTTAAGAATGGTTTAGTCGAACAAGTTCCAGTTAACAAGATAACTTGCTTGTAGTAATGAGCATGTGACTTCCTATAATAATTTTGAGGTACACGTGTATGGAATATGGCTGAAAAGCAATAAGTGTTGAGTATCGATTTTTATATAAATTAAGTCTGGTGCTTTAATTGAATTGCTTGTGTTTTCATCACATTTAGACAATGCTGAATTTGTGATTATTACGGAAACTTAGCTTCCAATATAAAAACTTATATTATAGTATATATCTCTCTCTCTCTCTCTCTCTCTCTCTCTCTCTCTCTCTCTCTCTCTCTCTCTCTCTCTCTCAAATGGCCAGTGACAGGAAAAACCAATGTTCAATGCAATATTCATTGATTCTGAAATACAATTTCAAACTTTATGTACATATCCTGAACCAGCTGACACCAAGAATCATTTTGATTTGCCATAATTGCTAGCCTGAGGGAAATCAAGGATAATTAATTTCCGCGACCGTTCAAAAGTTGACGGGCATCCGTCGATGGAATTAGGGACAAATTAAGGTAATTCGGAATAACCCCAGACTTTGTACATAAAATTCGCGTACAAGCGATCAATTATCGACCAGTGATGACTGGGTTTAGGATTTCCATTTCGGAAATTGTTTAAAGTCTATGATTATTCCCTCTCTGTGAGTCCTTATACCTGGTCAGTATCGCAGCATGGTCATTGGGATGGAGGCAGTGGTCAGTATGATATGCACGGAATGTGATACACGATAACTATTCTACACCGAACGGAGTGATAAACGGTAGACAAAATTTATTTTGGCCATGTGCGATGGTAACATGCTTTTTTTTACCAGAAGAGCGGTTTAAACCATTAACTTTCTTATCACTGGGTTCAGTTTGACATTTTACTATGGAGATCCCTTGAATGCATTTCAGCGTGATTGATGCAACTTTTATTGCAGATTATATACCATGATGTGCTGAAAAGTCAAAGCCATCCAGAAGCAATTCCTGTCACTGTGGCCTTCCAGACTTTCGCCATTACTGACGCTGAATTTCCTTGACGTTCATGCTCCAAATATCAGAGCATGGATATAAAGCCATGTAATGTGACTGTAAAATGTAGTCCTGCAATAGGTTATTGGCGTATCAGTCATCCCGACTAAGTAATAACAGTGTAACCAAATCTCAATTCGATAAAATCAATCGGAATTGGCTAATGTCTTCGATCTGTTATCTCACTAAGGGTTCCAGCAGTCAGACAGGAACATGGGAAGAACGATTACATTGAATTCGATCCGAATCAGTGAATAGTTTGAAAAGAAACGATACGAGCGGTGGAAGAGGTGATTGGTTGCCATAAGGAAATTACTCAGTATTAAAGTGCACAGTTTGGAAAGCTTGCCTGACATTCCCATTTGCTGTGTTGAATAGGTTACACATCATAAGCTTACTTGGACATTTGTAAGTGTCAGGACATGTATATAAATGCGTTTTCTGTATATTTTCTTATTATTAAATACTGGATAATAAGATAGAGCAATTCATCTCCATTGTCTTTTTGACACTTGTGTATATGCTTGCGAGGGGTGACTGAATGTTATGATGCACCGTACCTGATCAATGATCAAGTTGAATGAAGGTACATACTCGACTGTTGGTCAGTAAAGGAATTGTTTATTGCATGAGCTGAGCAACAATCCACGCCGACACATTGTGATCCACGTCACACGTTAATTGCTACCTGATTCGCTTTATCCTGTTCTAACAACAAGCACCGGATCTTGGGGATATATCTATTATGTCCTGGAATGCTCATGGTCAACACCAGTCTCGATTATCACTCGAAACAGATTCGAGTGGGTGCACAAGGCAAATCAGCGGTGAAATGATATGAATGGCTTATTGTAAATACGGACACCAGGGGTTCGCGAAAAGGATAAGCATGGTTTGCTGGTTGGTTGGTTTGTTTTAACGCCACATTCAGCAATATTCCAGATATATAACGGCGGTCTGTTAATAATCGAGGGAGAAAGGATCGATGACATGCATCAACCAAGTCAGCGATGACCACCCGATGCTGTTAGTCGCCTCTTACAACAACGTAGTCGCCTTTAACGGCAATCATGGGTTGTTGAAGACCTATTCTACCCCGGATCTTCGGATAAGCATGCCCTCTCCTTTCGGTAGCACAATTTCGCCAAATTACCACTTCATCTTCGCTGAAAATGAAGACGAAATGGCACTAGGTTGCACACACCCATATAGAACACTGACTGCGCCAGTACTGGAGGAACATAAAATATTTGGTCTGAAAGAAGAGTTTGACACTCCCCGTATGAATGGTACTTTCCGTGTGTGCCCAAGCTGTGTGGCTTCAGGTGTATGTTGCCAGAAGTATCATGTTGCCTACCGTCTTATGACCAACATAGCCATAGCCACCGATGTGCTTCCGTTCCAGCTCAATGAACATTGTTTCCTGGCCCTGACATGTTGTGTTAATTAAGACTGTTGGCGAAATTGGTTGTAGGCCGACAAAGAACACGCCGATAGTGTTAACGAATGTTATTTTACTCTGCATTCAGCAACATTTCAAACACTTCATGGCATAATAGAGCCTGTGTCAGCAAATGACTGATGGTGTGAAGCGATTCACGCCGTTGGTGTACAATAACCAAAACCTACGATCCACAAACACTGGGTACTGTTTACTAAAAATTACCAGGAATTCAAGCTGGGGTAGACTTTTTAGGAAATACTAATATTGTAAATGGTTTTGTGTCTGAATTCAAAACGATATCCTCGTAGTGACTATTGAAGCCTGACATGGCTGCCCACTGTAAACTTCGAAGTACGCATCATACAACTACTGAAGCATAGAAACACACAGAAGGTCATGGTAGCAAGAATTAAGTATCGTTAACCGCAATAAACAGAATCGTCTATATATCTGTGGCACCAATTTTCAGGGAGCCTTAATATATCTTCATAGCGACAAAGAAGGGAGAGACAATGGACGATGTTGTCAAGCCAGACCTATTGTAAGGTCACTGTGTACAAATTGAACTAAAAATAACAACATGTGCATAGATATACTCAACAACAAAAGTTCCTGTGACACCAATATTTTAGTGTATTTTTCAAACAAGTAAAGTTTGGTTTTCAGTATTGTAGAACGTGTATGGAATCAAGTCACAAAAACGCAACTGCTACAGAAAAGCAAAAAATGACTTTTATGCAAGCCCCATGCATTTCACTACCAAAGAATGGGTATAAAAACATGTGCGTTAACGGAATTCCATATGCATTGTTTAGCATCGTGCTGACAACAACCACTCAGAAAAAACAACAACATTACGTAATTATTCAACATAACGAAATGCCACGCCTGTCCGAAAATGAGCGTCTGCGAGCCATTGGTATGCTTGAAGCAGGATCGAGTCAACGTGATGTTGCAAGACAATTTAACGTCCACAGAAACACCATTTGGTGTTTATGGCAACGTTGGCAACAGACGAATGCAGTCAGAGACCATCCTCGGAGTGGCAGGCCACGCGTAACCAATAATCGACAAGACAACTAGATTCACACCTACGAAATCGATTCCAGCCAGCAACAGTGCCTGCAAGAAGCAGCCTTCGACGAATATCTTCACAAACCATACGTCGTCGTCTCACATGTGCAGGGATTGTCGCCAGAAGACCCACCCGACGTCCCATTTTGACAGGAAACCACCGTCAAGCACGTCTACAGTGGTGCAGACAGCGTCTACGCTGGACGGCCATGCAGTGGGGACAAGTTCTATTCACTGACGAGTCTCGTTTTCACCTCAGCCACAGCGATGGACGGATTCGAGTGTACCGACGTCGAGGTGAACGTTACGTCAATTATTGTGTCATGGAAGAAGATCGGTTCGGGGGGCGGCAGCGTTATGGTATGGGGTGGAATAACAGCAAAACAGAGGACCCGTTTGATAGTGGTAGAGGGAAATCTCAATAGACAGCGCTACCGCGACGAGATCATCGGTCCTGTTCTACCGTTTTTGCGTCTTCATGGCCCAGGCATTACATTTCAACATGACAACGCCCGGCCTCATTTTGCTCGACTTGTTCAGGATTCTCTTTAACAAAACAACGTGAATGCCATTCCCTGGCCGGCTCGCTCCCCTGATCTCTTACCAATCGAGCACATGAGGGATGAGATGGATCGGCGCCATCGACGTCAACCACGTGTTTCACAGACACTCCAGGAACTTCGAAACATGCTCCAGCAAATATGGACAGATATCCCACAGTACTTTGTGTGACGCCTGGTCCATTCCATGAGACGAAGATGTGTTGCTTGCATCGCAACCAGGGGTGGACACACACGCTTTTGATTTGTAAATTGACATTTTGGCATGTTCATGGGTTGTTGTTTTTTTATGAAATCACGCATTTTCTGAAGTCAGTATGGCAAATTAAACCATTTGAACACTTACAGAAGTCTTTTATCTGTTGCAAACCGAAATTGTTTCAGATTTGGTAAAAAACATAACTTTGCATTAAATCTTATTCAATGTCACAGGA